ACACAAATGATAAAGAAAAACTGAAGGAGCCAAAGGGTTCCTCTGATGTCTCTAAGAGTAGCCACCTAAGGAACCTCACCAGACTATTATAACAAAAAGAGGTTTGGACCACCTACATGCATTAGGAAAGTGTAACTGTGATAGGGTTAATTATCAACTTGACAAAGCCTAGAACCATCTCTTAGCATGTCTACGAAGGATTATCTTGATTAACTTAAGAGAGATTACAAGGTCCTTCTTGATTGTGGGTGGGACCAGCCAAGGAACAGGAGATCCAGAACTGTACAAATAGAAAGAGAAAACTGAGTAGCAGCACACATTCACTGCTCTTTTCTTCTGACCGTGGATGCAATATGATCAACGGTCTCAGGCACCTGCTGCCTTAATGTCCCCATTATGACAGATGTTAACATGGAAATGTGAGCTAAAATAAATCCTTCCTCTGTTATGTTACTTTGGTCAGAGTATTTTATCGCAGCAACAGGAAAGGAAACTAGGATAATAATGGAAAATAAATACAAATATTACAAAGTAGAACTGTATTCGCCCCCAACCAGAATTCTTAAACAGACCTGGTTCATCTTGGGGCATAAAACTGTTAAATCCCTATAGACAGTCATTGAAGTAATCAGATTTAGCCACTTCAAAGAACCTTACTATGTCCTTGAAACACTTAGGTGTCAGATAACAGAATCAGCATGCACCAGACTCATGTCTTACAAAGTCCAGAGCTCATTGTAATACCTTGACACACTTGAAATCCTGCTACCTCACTGTCAGATCGAAACCTTGAGGACTATCTCCCGTCCTGTTATACAGAAACTACATACATTCCCCACACTTTTAAAGTAGATCTAGACAATTCTCTATTTTCCAACCTTCAGGCCAGCTGCTCCTGGGTAGAAATGGTTTTATGGTGGCAGGCCAAAGGCTTTCAAGTCATACACTATTAAATATCATAGATACTAAGCCCTTTCTAAGTAGTCATATGCCAGCCCGCAAATCAGAACTAGCTGCCTTCTCTAGGACTTTCCAACTGGAGACAGGGATGAATGGGAGTTGATATTTGCACAGATTTTCCTAAGGCTCTGTTTAAGCCACATTCATGCAGTCATCTGGAGGCTAGGAGTCTTCTCACTGCCCTCAGTACTAAACATGCTCTCTGAGGCTTTGAGTCTCCAGAAACCATTAGACTTCCAATCCGGGTGTTCCCTGTACATTTCCAAGCTGACCCAAAGGACCACTCTGACATAGGTGAGACTAACAAGCAAGGGGATTACAAGTTAAACAAGCAGCTTGGCTCCTACTTCAAGCTGCTCAGCTCCTATCCCTATGCTAACCACCATTGTACATGCTCTATACATTCCTCAAGAAACTGGAGAGGCCTTAGAGCTGGGATTTACAACTACCACAGGGGTTTGGTTATAGAGCTCAGACCAGAAGCTGTTATTACAACCAGTTCATCCCCTATGAAGTCTTTTATGATAGACTTTTTCTCCAGACAGGCCTCTTCCTAGATCCAGACACTCCTTACATACCTCAGTATGTTATGTTACAAGTAAGTACACAGTCATGGCTGTCACTATTACCAAGATAAGTACAGCTTGACTCTACCTTTCTGGGATCACCTTTCCACATTAACCTCCCTCAAAATCCACCCACAGACTCTAAGCCTGTGCTTCTCAACCTTTCCAATGCTGGAACCCATTAAGACAGTTCCTCAAGTTGTGGAGAGCCCAAACCATAAAATTATTTTTTTTTTGCTACCTCTTGACTGTAATTTTGCCACTGTTATGAATCAAAGTGTAAATATCTGTGTTTTTCAATAGTCTTAGGCAATACCTGTGAAAGTGTCATTTGACTAAAAAGGGGTCGTGACCCACAGGTTGAGAACAACTGATCTAAGTTCCCTGGCCCAGACTCATTTGTCCAGATTTATGACCATTCTTCCCCTTGAAGTTCCAACAACATAGTTCTGGTAGCTTCTTGGAAATCTCCATCTTCTGTTCCAGCAAGACAGAGGTGAAATAATCCACCCCTAAACTCCTCTAGACTCTAATCAGTAGCCAAGATTCTTTCACTTTTCTGAGCTCTACAATATAGCTTTTAACTACATATTTACTATTTAATAATTTCATACTTCTAGATAATATGTTTGTTATACCCATGCCCCGTTTCTCCTCCAACACTTTCAAGGCACTCCTTTCTACAGTTCCTTCTTAAATTCATGTCAACTTTTATAGCTCCCTGAGTGCAATTAGAGCTGTCTGTGTATGCAATAATGTGGGGCCATCCACTGGAATGTGGGCAACATACCAGGGGCCATACCAGAAAAGACACGGATTTTCCTTCTCCCAATGGCCACCAACTGTCAGTAGCTCCTCAGCAGGGGTGCGGGCCTCACGAGTCCCTCCTCTATCCATGCTGGAATGTTGATTGGCTTCAGATTGTACAGTTCTTGTGAAGGCAGTCATGGCTACTGTGAGTTCATGTACGCAATGGTCTGTCATGCCCAGAAGACACTGTTTTTCAGCAGTTGTCCCAAACCTCTGTCTTTTGCAATCTTTTCACCTTTTCTTCTGTGATGTTCTCTGAGCCTTTGATGTGGGCATGTGATGTAGATGTTGTATTTAGAGCTGAGTACTCAATGGCCACTTGTTCACTGCACGTTTACAGATGTGAGTCTCCATAGTAAGTGCTGTCCAGTGTAAAAGTCACTTGGAGCTGGAAGGCTCTGTGATACAATTTCATAAGCTATCTCCTCTTAGCCCCAGTAAATCCAGTGCGACCCAACCTAGTTTACAGAATTCATCTTAGAGCCCTTCCTCAGGGAGACTCCTTTGACTATTCCTAGATGGTTATCATCACTTCTCCACATTTATAATCCCTGTTTCTATTTCTATATTAAAAACCGAATAAGTGGCCAGGCGGTGGTGGCGCACGCCTTTAATCCCAGCACTCGGGAGGCAGAGCCAGGCAGATCTCTGTGAGTTCGAGGCCAGCCTGGTCTCCAAAGTGAGTTCTAGGAAAGGTGCAAAGCTACACAGAGAAACCCTGTCTCGAAAAACAAAACAAAACAAAACAAAAAACCCGAATAAGTGGTGGTACTTGATTTGTCAGGAGCTGTCTCATTGGTTTTTGTTGTTGTTGTTGTTGTTGTTTTTTTGATTCAATTCCTCTCAAGAAACCAACCTTCCTTGTCAAAACATGACTCCTTTACCTTTGTCAAGTCTAAGATATTCAAACAGTTCTTCATAGAGAGTCTAAAGGACATTAAACTCCAGATAGTTACCTCATGGATATCATCATACATTACCAACTACATCCAATAGCCCTTACTTACATCTTGATCTCCAAGCAATAGTGTAGCCTTGAACTTCCTATAGTCACCACCCTCCTCTCCTATCAAAAATGCAGTTCCAGCCTTCTATGCCTTTTGTTGATTTGAATGAGAATGTCTTCCATAGACGCATGTATTTGAACTCTTGGTCAATGCTTAGGGGTACTATCATGATGTGTGCCCTTAGTTGAAGAAGTATGTCACTTGTAGTGAGGTTTGAGAGCCTAAGGCCTTACTTTCTCCACTTTCAATTTTCTTTTCTCTCTTTACTTTGTGTTGGAGTTGGAGCTGTGAGCCCCCAGCTTCTTACCCCACTGGCCTGCCTGTTGCTTGCTGCTATGCCTCCCTGCCATGATGGAGCCTTTTGAAAGTGTAAGCCCAAATAAACTCTTCATTCTGTTGGTTGACTTTGTCACAGTGCTTTATCACAGCAATGTAAAAGTAACAAATAAATGACTTGTGATACTTTGAGTCTATGGCACATTAGCAACACTTACCAGGGCCGTGGTTCCCTGCTTCAGCTCTGAAACAATTCCAGAAAAAAGATCTTCTGCCATTGTCAGCTATTTAGTCTTGCTGATATGTCAAGGGGGAAAAGGTACAGGCAGTAGACTTAAAACAATAAACCAGAATGTAGAGTGTGACTAGTGATTTCCACTACCTTATACAAACAATGAGAGTCTATCTCTAATTGACTTATGGTGCTTCAGTCCAAGGGGCTAGTCTAGAAAGGATGTTACAAAATATACTACTTAACAATATGGTGAAATGCCTACTTCTTATCTATTCAAATATAACTCCACTCAAATGACCCTACACTAATAGCTCATGAGATAAGACCAAGCCACTTCTCTTGACTATGAGGTAAGGGCTTCACTCCCTCTGAGGAATATTTTTTTCTTAGAATTCACCCACAGTGCTTCTGTTTCTCCACAACATGCATTTATTATTAAAGCATGACGTGCTGGGAATGATAAGCACAAGGTACAAGGAGAAAGTATTTGCCAGACCAGACTGATAGAAAAGTTTTTTTTTTCTTTTTAAGAGAAGTTACTTGGTTTTATCTCTTGGGCTGTTTGTGTAGAGTCTGGTGTTGGCTGAGGTCAGGCTTTCTACAAGAGGACATACTCTACTGGAAGGCTTTTCTAAGTTCAAAGCACAAGAACTGTCTCCAAACAAGAAGCACTATATTTGGGATTTTAGTTAATATGTGTTCCATATATACAAAGGAGGTAGCATGTGGCTACAGGCAAACAGAGGTTCCCAGGGCTTTCTAACCCCAGGGCGATATTTTGATTTCCCTTGTTTCTAAGACAGAGAACCTTGGTCAGTAAGTTGAAGCAGTTGGACTAAAGGGTCAAAAAGTTTCTTTCTACTTCCACTTTCTAAAACTTGCAGTTGAAGTCAAATAGTAATTAGGAGAAGAAGTTCAGAAGGCAAAAGTGAGAATTAGAAATGTGCTGTGAATATAAAGTGCCATGTGCTACTGTAAATGATGATGTGAATCTTCCCTGTGATTTGGATGAGACAGAATTAATGCCTTTCTTTCCCAAACTTGACTGTGTCCTAGAAATTTCAATGTGTTTGAAAATTAAACTGTAGTTTGGCTTTACATCTAAGTCCCACTTAGTGTCCTCCCATTTTATCTTCTGCTTTTCAGGCTTAGGGATGATGAAATACATCAAGGACATCCTCAAAGAGAAGATTACGTGAAGCAATTGTCACTGCTTTGAGTAAGCACTGTTACCTTTTGAGACTACCCACTCTTCACTTTGCCTTCACCTGTATCCATGAACGTTCATGATGCTGAAGCTTCAGTAGTCTCAGAGACCAAATTGTGTTTTACTAATCCCGAGTTGATTGTGGGATCCAATTTAACGGGGGGGGGACACGTTCAAGCTCATCCTCTCAGCTTCACTTTGCAACATGGACTGTGCTCAGAGACTTCAGACCCATGGGTACAGATCCTGTATATAAAAGGTTCTCTGTCCAGTGAGAAAAGAGAAGTAACTTTAGAAATGCCTAACACTGTCAATGGAAATGATCAGCAGATTAAGAGATAAACAGAAATGTGTACATGTGAGGAGAACAATAACATCAACCACCTACTGAATATTTATAAAAGCCACATGTTTTACTAACACCTTTTCATGTAGTCATTCCAAAAGCCATCCACAGAAGGCATTATAATTGTTATCCTCATGCAGCTGTGAGGAAACAAGGTCCAACTGGTGAAGTGCTTTCTTTTCCTTGAGTGATTCAGTTAACCTGTTGCAGAGCCTGGATTTCAACTCAGATTCTTTGAGTCTGAAACATTTACTGCCCATTGTACTTTTCGGCCTCTCCCAGGACAGGAACTTGGTATTCTAACGTGGGTGTCTGAGTTTGTACTGAATGCAGAAGACTGCATGAAATACTCAGTGTAAACAAGAAGGTGTATATTCTGAGCAAAGGGAGTGGCCCTAGTAAAGCAGGAGATGTGGGAAAGCCCTGTAACTCGGTGGAGAATACTTACCATACCAAGGGGAAAAACTAGAGAAATTTTTTCTTAAGGATGGGGACATAATGAGTATTGCTGAGATCTGACTGCATACTCATGGAAATATCTTTTTAAATATTTTAATGATGTTTATTTATTTAAAAATATATGTATATGTGCATGTGTGCCCACATGTCATGGTACACATATGGAAGTTAGAGCATAACTCACAGGACTGGATTTTCTCCTCTGACCATGTGGGTTTCAAAGATCAAACTCAGAAACCTGTGTGCTGTCCTTAAATTAGACGTAATGTATTTTTGCAAACAGTTGTACTCACAAAGCATACATAGAGAGAATCACTGAGATCTGTCCCACCTAATGGAGCTTGGTAAATAAAACATCATATTGTAGTACTTGATTACGTGGGAGACTCCTCTAGGAAGCTTATTAAGTTTAAGGATGCTGGATCTAGGACCCCGACACACTGAGTTAGGAGGTCTTGGGATATGGTCTGAGAATTTGGACTTCTTAGCAGCCTCTGGGTAAGGCAGATACAGCTGGTCAGTGGGGTCACTGTGTGTCTGGCACTGGGGTAGTGCCAGTTGTCACTGTGTTGAGTACAAAATCAGGAATTTGGTGTTTGAATATTACAGTCGTCAGCTTTCTGGAACCCAGTGTACTGTCTCTAGCATTGTCTTCCTTACATTGGTTGGTTCACGGCCATGCCTTCAGTTAGGATGATCTAGGGAAGAGAAGTCTGGTCAGGCCACTCCTGCTTAAAAAAATGGTGTCTCCCATTGATTGTTTTTGTGTGCTATATGGGTTAGACCATTCACTTGCTTCATACTTGTATATGGAATGCCAATCTTTCCAGATCTACCTGTCCATACTTGGTTAAACTCTGTTTCTGGACACTCTCCTCAAAAACAATTCCAAAGCAAGGCCTTTCAAGACCTTGGGCAATATCCTTCCAGGACCCCTGTAAGCACTTTTGTACAGGGTGGACATGGCTGAGCACACCAGATAACTGAGACTCCTTCAATGGAGGCACACACTGTAAGTAGCTTGATGTTCTCATTGAACTTGTATTCCTCCTGACTTGGCTAGGATTAACTATCACACTTGCCTTTGGGGTGATGGTTATTGTATGCTTTCTTAGAGTCAGAGCTATTAAGGGTGAAACTCAGTCATAAGTAACATAAGAAAATGCTCACATACATTAATAACACAGAAGAGACTTGTGTATGTTTTAGAATTTTTCTATCCGAGTATTATAAACCACAAAAGTGACCGTCTTGTCTCCAGAAAGAGTGTATTTTTTAACAGAACACTTTCCCAAAAGGACACTCCTCCCACTGATGCATTTTGATCTATCCTGATTTAATTTAAAGTTTGAAGATGGGGTCTGACCTTATCTATCAGTGGCTGAGCCATTGTCTCATGGAAATGCAGTTGAAATTCATTAGTAGGGCAGACTGTATATTATAACTTAGAAGCTCTTGGTTATCACTGATGCTTGCAATTGCTATGGAAACCAAGTTCATATGCACCTTTTAAAGAGTCTGCTTTAAAACAGTGGAGGGGAAGATGAAAGAAAGCTGGTTCCTTGGAAGAATAAACTGTTTAGTACCCAGTATGCATAGGCAGGTTCAGTAGTGCAAAAATGCTCTGCCTACACAATGATAACAACTCTTGTATTTTTAAAGCACTAATAATGTATAATATTATATTAGAGAACCATGTTTATGCTGGTGGATAGGAATACCTGAAGTGTCTTTTCCTATGCATACATATAAACACAGACACCACACACTAGCACACACAATTTTTTCAATTTCCACCAGATCTTTGCAGCCTTTATTCTGAAGCCATTTGAAGGCCACATGCAGGCAACTACATGAAAATCAGCCTTTTCTGCTTATTCTAGAATGGATGTTGACAGTGAATGTTCCATCCATCCATGTGTGACCTGACCGTTCCAATTACAGATTTTATAAATAGTAGTATTAATTTGTTTAAGATGTCTATAAGAAATGCATGATAGTATTCCTCATCAAATTTCGATTTTAGAGGTTCTTTTCTCCGTGTCTGTGCCCACATATTTTCCTGATCATTGATGTAGTACTGTGTTGTGGAAACAAGAAAGCAAGCATCACCTTGTGCAAAGGGAATTTTCCAGTATACACATCCTGTTGACATCCTGTATTAATCTGTTCAGCATTCTTATCTCTCTGCCATTCCCCAAATTAGCAAATGTTTCCCCCTATACCCTTGTATTGCCTATCCTGTAGCCCAGTGGGAGCTGCACCATCCTCTTCTTTGGAGTAGAAGCATGTCCTCAAACTGCTTTCCCTGTCTTTTTTATTTTACTTTTTTAATATTTACTCTTATTTTATGTGTATGGGTGTTTTATCTGCATGTATGTCTATGCACCATATGTATGCAGTTAATTTTGAGGCCAGAAGATGGCATTGGATCCTCTGGAACTGGAGTTACGATGGGCACCTGGAACTGAACCTGGGTCCTCTGCAAGGGCAGCAAATTTTATTAATGGCTGAATGTGTCTTAAGCCCTGTATTTTCTTTATAGTTATGTGTATGTGTGTTGAGCAGAGGGAGTGTGTATGAGGACAGAAGAGAGCATTGAGTCTCCTGGAAATGGAGTTACAGATAGTTGTGAGCAACCCATTGTGGGTGCTAGAAACTCCACTTGGGCTCTCTGCAAGAGCAATATGTGCTCTTAACCATCTCTTCAACCATCTTTGTTTTCATCTTCAGATCAACAGGAACTTTTAAGACAGCATTCTTCTTCTGAAAATGGATCCTCATTCTCTAGTCATCTGGAAACCATTTCTCATGCAAATAGGTATGTAATAACAACCATAGTGCTTTAATATTTGAAACCATTTGAGAAACAAGCAGGCTCCCTCCCTGCCAGACCCCATTTTCTCTCCCTATTCCTGGCAACCACCCCGGACAAATGTCACTGCTTGGTAAGTATGTGCTCACTTTTTAGAAATGTGCCTTTGTACCATTGATTCTCTCCCTGTACCTTGCTCACCAGTCATGACACAAACTTCTAGAGATAGGGGAACCAATGTGGCTATAAAAGGGGCGTTATTGCTTTTTTGTAATATATTCATTACCACTTCCAGAATATTACCAAGTAGATAAGGGGTACACAGGTTTTTCCCCCTGAATTCTTTCCCACAACTAATTTCCAATCTAAAATGAGCTCAACACAATTTTCAGTTTAAAAAAAGAACCCGATGACAATTTGGCGCAGGAAATAAAGCACAGCCACAACAGACAGACATTTCAGCCAGTTTAATGTTTTCTAACATTATCATTTAGTTCCTGCAAGACCATTAAACACAATTAAACAGTTACACGGACAAGTAGTGTCACACTAAGAGCATGGGTTCTAAGAAGCAAGAAGCAGCGATGGATAGGCAAAGACAGCGGCAACCGCAGATGTTATACGCGTTTATGATGGAATTTCTAGATGTTAAATTGTCGGAGCTTCTTCTGTAGTAGTCTTTTCTTCAAAAACTTGAATGGAGATGTGGTTGGATATCATCTTCTTCTACTTCAGACTGGAGCTCCTCCAATATGAGTTGTCTGGCCAATTTGATGTTCAGTCCTTCGTTGTAATGTAACTTTCTTTTCAACTCAAATTGCCGTTGTCGCTCTTGTTTGTCCAGGAAGAATTTGCTGCTATGCGCACTGCTGCTTTCTTGCTCCTCACCCTGATAGCTGGTCCCAAAGGTGTCACTGGCTGCGAGCTTCTTCGCTAAGGTATCAGCAGTGGTCATGGCTTCCTTTCCTTGAACTTCACTCGTGTTGTCTTCTCCGTCATGTGGCACACTGGCGAAGGGATTGCCGGGCTCATTCGTTTTCATTAAGTCATAGTCTTTGTAGGATGGATAGTGGGTTGCTAGTATGTTGGATTCGTCCCACTTCTGCGATTTCTTACGTTGCAAATCCTGAGCGCCAGGTCTTCCTGATGGTTGGGTGGAATCCTCCACCGAAGATGTTGAACTCTTGTTTTTGAGTATCCCCTTGATGGGCCGGTGTGAGGTGGTGGAGGTTGCCATGCCTGGGAAGCTGAGGGCCAAGTTAGAATTGGGCCGACGCAGCCACTTGTCCGCACTCCGCACTCAAGCAGGAGCTAGATCTGTCTGGCGGATAGGCCCTCAGCACCCCAGTAGCAGCGCCAGGGTTGGGCATGTCACAAAGGACACAGTGAGATAAGTCACAATGCACCCTGCTTTCGTCACTGCAGCAGCTGTGGCTTTGCGGCCCTCTCTGGTCGCCATCTTGGATTTTTCTTTCTTTTTTTAAGAAATGTAATAGGAAAATACCCATTTGTGTCATATGAATGAGAATCATTACTATTTGGGGGCTCCTCTACACTCTGTGCACAGTGAAGCTATGTGAAACATCTTTCTTACTAACATCTAAAATTCACTACTTAAATTGGAAAGATGCCCATCCATATGTCCCTCTCCATATAAATATATGTACCCTGTCCCTCCCATCTTTGTCTATGTCTCAGAGAATAGCCACACCAACAACTGCTTAGACCAGTCGGGAGCCTAGTTGCATCTCTATGTCCAGATGAAATGGCTCGCTTTTGTTCTAGTCCTCTGATGCTGGCCTACATATTTTAAGAAACTCATTTGATCTCTTCTACTGCCATCCCGTTTTAAGTCACCACCACATTTTGGGGTGACTGTCACCTCAGCCTTTGAATTAGATCCTGGATAGACCTCCCTGCTGCTTTCCAATCTCTCGTCCACCCTCTCACCCCAGAAATCTTGAAATCCTTTCACCTTCTTCAATCACTTGTGTAATATCTTTCAAATCAAGACCTGTTCCCAGAAAAAAGCTTGCTCACGCATCCATCTAAATCAGTAGTTCTTAACCTGTGAGTTGTGACCCCTTTGGTATCAAATGACCCTTTCACAAGGGTCACCTAAGACTATTGGAAAACACAGATATTTGCATTATGATTCGTGACAGTAGCAAAATTACAGTTATGGAATAACAATGAAAATAATTTTATGTTTGGGGGTCACTACAGCATGTGGAACTGGTTCTGACACCCTGGATATGTGACCAAATTTCTCATGCTGAATATACTAGATAATTCGTCAATCTGACCTACTTTAAGGAAGAGTCCTGGAAGTTCAGTCTATCAAGAGCACCCTTACTCCTGCTGTTTCTTATTAATATTCCAACCGTTGACTCTCCCCATCTAGCCTTTTGCTATGAACCCCAATTTGTCATGTCAGAGATAAGTTCCATTTATCTTTCCCTCTGGATTCTACTGTAGTGGCACTCAAATTTGTTTACAAAATTCAGTACTGAATATAGTCTCCCTTACTGTCTTTATTAGGCACGATGCATTTTTTTCCCTTTAACAGTTATGGTGCCAGTGACTTGGATAGGATCAATTGTACCATTAGAAAGTTGGACCTCTTGCTCTGAACTGCATTGGACACCTCTGCCTTCATGTCTAGCTGTACTGATTAAGGAACCCATACCCTGGGTGAGTCTAACTCCTGAGCTCTGTATAATAGTGTGCCAAACCATCTTGCAGATACATTCTGATTGTTATGATTTGGGGTAAGAATGTGCTTTGAAGCTGGGATAGAGTCCTGGTCTTCTTTTGAAAGGTATTTATGGCTGTTTTCTGTTACCAGATCTTAATGACACAGACTAAGAAAGGTATAAAGAACAAAAGGTTTGATTCATGGTTCTGAAGGCTGGGAAGTTCAAGACTGAGCAGCACTATCTGGCAACGCTATTCTGCAGATTTTGAAATCCCTGGTAAATATCAGAGAGAAAGACACAGCTCCATATCTTGGGTTCCTTTTCTCTTTCTGTAAAATCATACTCTTACTGAATTAAGGTCCTAACCTAACAGCATCATTTAATCTTAATTGCCTCCCAAAGGCTCCACCTCTAAACACCATCATAATTGGATTCAGTTCTTACTCTTTTCATATTTTACACACTAACTATTTTATTTCAATATGAGTTTGGGTGGGACTATTCAAGCCAGGATATTCTAGGCTAAAGTTCTTCTTATTGGCTTTTTGTATGGGTTGTCCTAGCTACTGGGACTGCCCCTGAGCTGGAAAATTCTTCCTGGCTCTTATTCTATGTCCATGTGAGTATTACACCTGACTCTGTAGAATAGAATTCTTTTCTTAAAAAATTAAATGTTACATGTATGAGTGTTTTGTCTATATATACATCTGTACAACATGTGTACCTGGTACCCATGAAGGCCAGAAAGAGGGCATCAGATTCTCTGGAACTGGAGTTATAGACAGTTGTGAGCTGCCATGTGGGTGCTGGGAATTGAACCTGTGTCCTCTGAAAGTGCAGCAAGTGGTCTCAACTGTTGAGCCATCTCTCCAGCAATATTTTCCTGGTAACTTTTGAAATCTTTCTTTCCTTTCTGTTTCATCCTACTTCTCCTATAAGAATTTCCCAATCGGCTCTCCAAACCCCTGATAACTATGTGTTTTTTCAAATCTGACTATTTCATTTCTTACTGGCATGATTTTGCTAAGATAACTTGTAACCTTAGTTGTCTCTATGTCCTCTTCCTTCCCTTCATCTTGGATCCTCTATTCCCGTTGTCACATTCGTTCATTATTCCAGCTCCCTTGAATCCTTGAATCCTAGATATCCCATTTCAATCGCCTACCTCTTTCAACTCTGACCAACCCACATTGTCTGTCGTGCCAGAAACAATAAGCTGAAGGCATGAGGAAGGGCTGTTAAAGTTATTACCAGACTATAATTGATATAAAAATTCAAATAAAATACATGTGCAGTGATAGAGACCGAAAAATAGTAGGAACATTCTCAGAGAGAGCATCTGAGCCCTGAGAGGGAATGGGGTCGTTTTGTGATGGTTTAAAAAAGTTGCTTAGTCTTAGCCTGTGAGCCATTTGTATAGCTTCTTATCTGGGCCAATAAGAAGTGGTATGCTATGTCCAGAAGACACTGTTTCATGATCTGTCTTACACACTCACTGCAGCTGGGGTGGCAAAGTACACAAGCTCTGCAATAGATTCTGCCTGTCAACATTTCATCATGGATGGAGGAAGGGCTCACGAGGCCTTCTCCGAGGGCTATTGGCCCTGGGCAGAAGGGGTGTCACTTTCTGTTGTAACGTAACCACTGATAAGTTGCCCATGCTCCAGGAAATAATCTCTGACCCAAGCTCATACATGCAGCCTAATTTAAATTCAGTAGATTTTACACACACACAGAGAGAGAGAGAGAGAGAGAGAGAGAGAGAGAGAGAGAGAGAGAGAGAGAGAGAGAGAAGGGGGGATGAGAGGATAAAAGTAGAAAGGGGACTTGTTAGGAAGCAGGGTTTGGTGATGGAAGAAGGGAGGGTGAGGCAGGATGAATGAGGCAGGATAATTGGGGACAGGAAAGATGGAATTTCATTATATCCATGTATGGAACTGTCAAAGAACAAAAGTAAGTATTTTAAACATAGAATATTTTTTAAATTTTTGGAAAGAAATTAAAAATGGTATAAAAGGAAGGTAAAGTTCACTAGTGAATTTCTACATGGATACAACAAAATAAGTTACTGGATATTTAGGGTAAATAAAGTAAATCTTTTTCAGTTGCCTTTAGGACCCACCAAAGTAGAACTTTGGCTGGAGCTCATCAACTTCAAATGAGAAGTAACACTTTCCATAAGGAGCTCCTTGGCTCATACTCTTCCAGCCCAGAAGCCTCAGGTTTCACTGGACAGTTGTACCATCAGAGACCTTCAGTTGCCCAGGCTGCTAGGCCAACTGACATCAGCACCAGGGTCAACAGAGATCAAGGGAAGCAAGGTGAGAGTCCCTATCTCTATCTCTGGACCATCTTTTAAAACATCATAAAAGCAGAAGGCCTTAAGATCAAAATATTTACCAGATAACTAATAGAAAAGTTTTAAGAAAGAGTATATAGTCAAGTATGATGGCATATGCCTTTAATCCCTGCACTTGGGAGGCAGGCATATATCTGTGAGTTCAATACCAGCCTGCTCTAGATAGTGATTTCTAGGCAATCAAGACCTAGTAGTGAGAATTTGTCTTGGAAAGTAATTATCATAATCACCATCATCATTGATATATACTGTGAGAGATAGAAACACAGTGAGCAATTTCTCAGAGAAAGAATTTATAATTGAGAATAAATAGGGTGATTTTATATTTGTTGAGATATGTTGCTTAGTTTTATCTTTAAGCCATTTGCATGGTGTACATTTGAATACATAGGAAGTAATATATTTTTAGGGGGCATATTTTTAAATATAATACTTTTATTCACTGAGAATTTCATATAGTTTATTTTGCTCATATTCATCCCCACTACCCCCACAAACTCCTCCCTCATTCACTGCTAACCCCTTCCCTTCTTTTGTTGTTGTGGTGGTGGTGGTGGTAGTGGTGGTTGTAGTTAATAACCTACAAAGTCCAATTTTTGATGCCCAAATACTCATGGGGCCCTCTATAGTAATTTAATCCACAAACCAGGAGTTACAATCTTAAATAAAATGGACTTTCCCTCTCCCAGAAGCCATTAACTGTCAATAATTCTTCAGTTCTGAGTAGCATCTTGTGAGGTCCTCTTCCCTTCCTATTAGAATCTTGACTGGCTTGATCTCAAATAGATCTTGTGCAGGTAACACAGCTGCTATGAGTTTCTAAATACAGCATGGTTCTGTCATGTCCAGAAGACATTATTATGCTCTGGCTCTACCTATCTCTGCTCTTACAATATTTCTGACTCTCTTCTACAGTGGTCCCTGAGCCTTCATGATGGAGAGAGCGGACAATATAATGTGCCATTGTAGCTGAGCAATCTAATGATACTTACTTTCTGTGCTTTGACCAGTTGTGAGTTTCTGAGTTAACTATCATCCACTGCACACACAAAAACCTTCTTCGACGATCTGAAGGCTTCATTAATTTACAGGTCTAGAAATACAAAGTTAGAAGGTAATTTGATACTCTATCAGTCTAGTAGGCTAATAATAGGTGTATCTTTACCCTTTGAAGCTATTAGCTTACAAACTTTGCCATGGACCAAGGGTCCTTGGCTGTACCAGACATGTATTTCTTCCCATGGAACAGGCCTTAAATCCAATCAGAAAGTCATTGACTGCCCCCATGACATTTGTGTCACTATCACACACATATTTGTGTGTCATGTTTGTTCATCAGGGTTGAAGCTGGGTAAGACTGTTGGTGACAGTTTTCCTCTAGCAGACTACATAATATCTTCTCGATCTGTAAACCTAGCTCTTGTCACTATAAACTCGATTTCTCCCTAACCTATGACTGAAGTGTGTGGTGTGTTCAGCAATAGAGTCATTAGATAGTCTATTTTATGATTGACACAATTTGCCCTTCCTGAGATTTGGCTTTTGGGTCATTAGGAGTTAGGTTTTAATTAGGTACCACAAGTCCCTGGGTGAGGCTCCAAGCAGGTAGGGTCTGATAGTTATAACCCCAGAACTTGGGAGGTTGATACACTAACATTATGCCAGGTCACTTTGGGCTATATAGTGAGCCTGCGTTTCAATATATAAATTTTAAAAATCTAACAAAGAAATAACTGTGTATGATGACTAGCTTTGTTCATTGTCCTACTATGCCTATATGAAAACAGTTTCCAAAATATTTGGTAGTGTGAAAACTTAGAGTTACACTAAAGTAAATCAATAGTGGATGTTATTAAATATCTAGATAATTTCTAAATGAGATGAACTACTAAAATACTAATTACCGAACCTAAATTTGGGTTTATATACTTTGAGTTTAATAATTTTATATAGTATAGAGAAGTGAGTATATTGGGGCCTATTAATTATCATGAAAAATTATATTATGTGGGAATTGCATTTACCTATAAGAGATAAAATATGTATTCATAAAATTTGCTAGTCTGCTTGTATAGGATGCTGCTATAACTTTATAATTATCTCCTCCCTAGTTTTCTCTGCAAAGGAAGAGTTACTTATAGTTAAAAATTATAATCAAGATATGTAATTAAAACTTCTAGAACTAATAAGGGTGAAGGAGAAATGACTGTACATAAATATTCAAGGAAGGTAAGATATGTTTTTAATAAGGAAAAGTATACAGAGTAAAAAGAATGTGTTTTCATTAAGGAAAAAAAAACAGGGCAATTTTGTCCTAAAGTAAGACTACAGTTGTTTCAAAATAATGAAGAGAAGAAGAGAAGGATGAAAAATGAATGGATATAAGAAAGTTGTAGAGTGTTTTTAGATACAGAATTTCAGGTTTGATCAATTAATGTTTGATCATTGGATGAATTTCATTGTAAGAGACTTTTATCATTTTTTAAGAGCTCAATAACAAGACAGATATTGTGGCTCACAATTGTACTACTAGCCCAAGGTAGGCTGAGGCAAGAGGATTTTGGTGAGCTTCAGGCCAGCGTGGGTTGTAGTATGAGACCCTTTCTCAAAGCATCAATAAGAAAAGAGCTCAATAATATATTAATGCAAATCTAAAATTTGATTTTTCAGTGTGAAAAGAACACAATTTATTGTATTATTACAACAAGTTTTTCTTGTAATATATTATTGAGCTCTTTTGTTGTGGTTGCGCAATTCCTCTCGGAAACAGTGAGTTCTTTGTCTTATGTAAATAACTTCCTTAACTCTAGAAAGCTTGTCAAGCTAGTTGCCCTTTGGACTAAAAATTCTTGGTTTCCAGACAATAAGCTCTGCTTTTCCCTTGTTTTCAAAGAAATTTCATTAGGTGCTTGCCTGATTATTTTTACAAGCTATCAAGTTTCTTCCACCAAATAAGAAAAGGGGCTTATACTGTTTGAAGGAAGGGAAGAATGTCTACTATTGCCTTTAACAAGAAGGATAATTGAAGAAATGGGGAGATTGACCAGTAAAACAGGTTATTTGGATGAGGAGTCACATCCAACTTCTTTTCCCCATTGCAAGACCCATGTGACAGACTTTATCCAGACTCTAACAATCCCCTTTGGAATACTCTTTCTTATGCTCTTTGACAAGTGTCATGGTCTTGACTATTTTTCTCTTTATCAGCACATATCTGTTTCACTTACTACTGCCTCCATTGTCATATCCTTTTATCCTTTGCATTTTGTGTTATTGTTTGGTTGTTGTTTGCTTTGTTTTGTTTTTGAGACTACATCTCACTAAATAGTTCTGGCTGCACAGAATTCCCTCTGTAGTTCATGCTGGCCTGGAACTCATGATCCTCCTGCCTCCACTGCCTAATTCTTGGGATTTCAAGTATCTATTGCCATACCCAACTCTACCTTATCTTTATTACATAATGCTGCATGTGGTACATGGTAGGTATTACAAAACTATTCACCGAGTAAATAAATGAATAAATGAGCGCTAAATAATAGGTAATAGGAAATTGGGGGAAATGAGACTTTTGGCAATCAATACAGGAACTCTAGAGCCCTTACAGTCAGTTACAGATTTTTCAGTTAGTCACAGGATATACATGGAAATGGGGATTTGTTACAAAGAGTGACTTTGCTACATTTCCTGTCCTTCACAGGCCTCATTTTTCATAAGGAGTAACATACTTTGAAACAAAGAAAAGAAATTAAGATACAGTTTCACATTTTCCCCTACAGGTAGTATTCACAAGATTTTTTCCCTTCTGATAATATTTTGCTTCTTCTTCTCTCCCTCAAGGTCTTTCTGCATTTTGGAGCACAAAAGCAAATGCATGAAAGAACCATAAAACTTTTACAAGGGTCTTAAGTACCTCAAGTTCAAGTTGGCCTATATTCTCCAAAGTCCTACTAACTTAGGAACTCTGCAATTACTTTCAAACTCTCTTATTCATCCAAGAGGAAGAATGCCCTGATACCAAATTCTTTGAAAAGGCATATTGCTGTAGAGAGGCTTTCAGGGACTCAAGCTGATATTCAAGGCTATAGGAAAACCCTATGGTATGGCAGAAAAAAATATAAAAAACAGCCTTCATTGTTTAGAAATACTCTAGGCTACTCTTTAACACAGCCTAACTGAGAGGCATCTCAGACAAGAACCCAAGCAGTTTGTATCCCTGGTTTCATAGGCACAGTGGGCTAGTGCAGCTTTAGCTATGTTTTATAGTGTCACTTGAGAAGGTAGTCAACAGGCCTTTCAGTTGCACATAATTTTAAGATAACCCATTTTAGCCCATTTTTAGGTAGTTATGCAGCTGAGACTTTATGGTTATAGCTTTGACATTTCCAGGAATCACAAGTTCACAGCAAACTTCTTGTTCCTCAGGTTTTTAGAATCTGTCCACTCCCTCTTCTAACATGATCCCTGAGCCTTAGGCCTTTGAGACTGGACTCCTCATCTTGATTGGTTGTAGTTTTCTGTAATGTTCTCCATCTGTTACTAAGAGAAGTTTCCTTGATGAGGGGTAGGATGACACTGTGGAAATAAGGATAAATTTTTAGATTGTCATTAGGGATTATTTTGGTCTGGTAAAGTGGCAGTTGTAGGTTCTCATCTATGACTCATGACTTCACTAGTCCTGTATAGTTGGCTAGGTTTCCAGTACCAGACATGATTTCTCTCTTTTTGAGAGTGTCTTATATCCAATTAGAGAGCTGTTGGTGACTACCAAGGTATACATGCTACTACTGCACCCTTAGGGTTATCATGTTATGTTCGTCATTGTGTAGTTCATAGGCATCACAGCTGGGCAGGCCTGTTGATTGCTTACCTCCTTTGGAAGCATGCATGGTACTTTCTGGTACCATGAAAGGTAGTCTCCTTAGAGCGGTTCAAATCAGAGGTCTCTGGGCCCTTGGTCTGAAG